GCAGGCGGCAGGGACCACAGTCAGGAAGCTGTTGCATGAATCTGGGACGTGGATGGAGAGCCTGGCCAGAGGGACGAGGAGGAGTTGGACTTGGGAGACACTTCTTCAGTCTGTGTGGCAGGACTCAGTGCCCAAGTGGCAGAGTGTCGCTCTGTTTTCCAGACTGGGCGCCCGGCTGTCAGCCCCGGGAGAATCCATGGCTAGGGGCACACAGTAAGGGAGAGAAACTCATGCTGGAAGATTTTCCTCAAATTTGAAGTAAATTTTGTTCTGAGCCTTCTCTCTAAGAGTCTCCAGTATGAACCCGTCAAAGGACATCTTAGGGGTCTGGGCCTCTCTGGTTGGGGAAGCAGCCATGTTGCACAGTTAGCATATTTTTTATGATTAATAAAGCATGGTTCTAAATCACTCTAAATTAGTAGAGTATGGCTCCAATCCAGTCCTCCATGCCACGGAGGGGATGGGAGTAGCGTTGCTAAAACATCACCTGCAGCTGGACGAGGAGCAGAATGTCAAAAATCAGCATTAACTATTATTTCAAGTTGAGTGCAAGAAGCCGTAACCGGTGCCAGTAATAACAAAGAACATCCTTTCAACCCCTGCGAGCCAAAACAAGCTTCGTAAAACAAACCTAACAGAAAGCACAATAGCAACATGTTCAGTGTGCATTTGGGCTGAAAGTGCAGAGATAAAACATACTCCACCATCTTCACTGGTACAAGTCAGAGACAGACAGACATAGTGTTTACAGTTACAACATCACTGCAGAAAGATCACTCCTGAGTTAAACGGTCAGCACTCAAATGAGTTCCTGAAAACAAATAAAATGCATTTTCTATACTAGGTACGGTTTGCCACGATGGTGTAAGAAACCTCCGTTTCTGGGAATGGCAACACATGTTTGGGTGAGGAACAAGAGCACCTGCCAAAACCATTCTGCGGAAAAAAAGAAAAAGCACTCCTTGTTTGCCAGCCCCTGAAACAAGCAAACAGTTAGGAAACCATGACATGGAGCGGCGGGTGTATATGCTGCGGAACCCCAGTTTGATGGGTTATAGGGGTCTGTCTGCATCGGCCAGTTCTGATGCAGGCCCAGGCAGGCCCACAGCCTGCCTCGACCTCCACGCAGTGCCTGCTGATCCTGTAGAGCAGAGGCTGGGCGTCCTAGTCAGCTCGGGCTGCCATAACAAAGCACCGTAGCCTGGGCGGCTTAAACAACAGGCATTTGTTTCCCACAGTTCTGCAGCCCGGAAGTAAAGACCAGGTGTCGGCATTGTTGGGTTCTCTCGAGAGCCCTCTCCCTGGCCTGCATGGCCGCGTCCCTGCTGTGTTCCCACGTGGTGCACAGCACAAGAGCTCTGGTCTCTTCTTCTCAGAAGGGCACTGATCCCATCATAGGGGGCCCTCCCTCATGAACTCATCTAAACCAAATCGCTTCCCAAAGGCTCCACCCCCCAAACACCACTGTACTGGGGGATAAGGCTTTAACATTGTGTGTGTGGGGGCGGGGGGGGGGCCACAAACATCTCATAACAACATGGCTCCTTTTTGAAGTCAATGGCTTCAAAACTGCCAATGCCCTCACACCAGCCACCTTCACGGGGAGGTCACTGATGGCCCGGCAGTGCTCAGGAAGTCTGCGAGGGCATTTCCTCCTGGTGGTCACAGGAACTGAGTGAGGGGGCAACAGGGCACTAATGGGGGGAAGTGGGGGTGCAGGCAGGAATGCCAGGTAGTCCTGCCCAGCTAAAGATCGCCCTGTATCTGCAGGCGGCTCTGAGGTTCTGCCAGACATTTATATGGGCCAAAACTTTTTAGTAATTACCTGAACCCACAACCTAAGTGCTTTACATAAAAACACAAAAGCACTTTTCTGCATAATTTTACACGACTGAATCTTCTCGGAATGTGACTACTGTCTCAGTCAGGTAAGGCTGTGCCTTTGTTTGGAACGTTACCAGGAATGGCTCCCCATCCCGGACATCCAGCCTGCAGAGGTGTCTGCAGAGGTGTCTGGCGTCCCGGCCTGCGTTTCTGCCCGTCTGCAGTAACAGGCCCCGCGCTTGCCTGAAGGGGCAGAGTCAGTGGAGACCAGTACGAGTCTGAACATTTACGTGTTAAATTACATACGTGTGACTACAAACTACTTGCCTATCATTTCAGATTAGCAACTGAGCCAAATACTTATTTCTTTTTAACACTGTGGGTGTATGTAGGTTAGCGACTAAATCTCATTTCAGGGAAGCAGTGGGGGCATTTTTATCTTACACATTACGTAAAAGCAGCATCGTGTCCTTGCGGGACTGGCGCTCTGCCATGCCCAGCACACACCCACCTGGGCCCCTGCAGGGCCTTTGGCCTAAAGACTTCCTTGATTCTTACTCAAGTGACGCCTTCTCGGTGGGGCTGCCCCTGTTTCAGTCTGCAGCCCCGTCTTACCCCACAGCCCGGCAACCTGGCACCCCCACTCCACTTCCCTGCTTTATTTTTCTCGATAACTCTCAGCGTCACTATGTCATTTATTCCCTAATCTGTTTCCCCATTGGAATAAAAGTTCTATGAAGGAAAGGACTTGTCTGTTTCCTTCCCTTGTATCCTCAGGGCCTAGAACAGTATCTGGATACTTTTATAATCTATTTGGTATTAATGGTTTACAAATATCAAATTTGAAATCTCTAGTTAAAATTCCAAGATTAAAACTGACTGAAAGCCTGGGGGCTCCACACATTTCCACCCGCAATCTTTGCACAGATACATATATACTGAGGTCATTGGTAGCCAGGGCTGCATTTCACTAAAATAAGCCAGTTTATTCTCAGAAAATCAATGAGATTTAGAATGTATTGAATATTACTTGAAATGATTAGAATTTAATGGCATTTCTCTAATTCTTCCTTAAGTGTCTTTTAACTCCTCCCTGCCCTGCCTAGACCCACTGCCTGCTTTGCTCCTTGCCAGGCCTCCTCCCGACTGAAATCCAGTCCCCCCACCAGGGCTCAGCTCTGACACCCCATCTTCATAAAGCCTTTCCTGCCCCCACCCCAGCGGTTCCTGGGACCTCTTTGACACGGTGACAACATGTTCTGTATACTTATCATTTCTCCCTTCAGACTGTGCACTCCTTGAGGGCAAGGACTATCTTTTTCTTCTTTGGGGCCACAAAGTATCTTTTGCAGACTAGCTTCTACAAACATGCGCTAAGTGAAAAAGAGGCAAATGCTTTAAGCTCTAAACTACTGGACAGAACATTTCTTCTTATGTTCCATTGATTCTTACATTTGGCCAAGTAACAAACAAGGCAGGACACAGTTTCGTCGGATACAGCTGAGGCTACTTCTAGAAACTAGGACTTGAAGACAGTTAATTCAAAATGATACAGACGGGGCGGGGGGCAGCGAGCAGAGCAGAAGAATGGAGCGGCCTGGGGCAAAAATGCCCTGTCTGGAAATGCCGAAACTGAGGGACCAGCCCTCACACAACAGTAAAGACACTTATCTCGATCCTTTTGTACCTTGTCGATTTCTGTCTTTGGACAAAATCAGAAATCACAAGATTTAAACAACTCTGTTTTTGTTTTAAAAAAGCATTAAAGCCCTCGCTGGCGTAGCTCAGTGGATAGAGCACGGGCTGCGAACCAAAGTGTTGCAGGTTCGATTCCCAGCCAGGGTACATGCCTGGGTTGCAGGCCATGACCCCCAGCAACCGCACATTGATGTTTATGTGTGTGTGTGTGTCTCTCTCTCCCTCCCTCCCCTCTCTAAAAATAAGTAAATAAAATCTTAAAAAATAATAAAAATAAAAAAGCATTAAAAGGCTTAAGCATGAAGGAGAGAGAGTACAGATAACATTCTGTAATGCAATGACAAAACCCAGCTCTACCCTCTTCTTGTGGCCACTGACTCCAGCAAGCTGGTTCTTTCTGTGACTTCAAGTTCCTGCTGCTCCCAGCAGGGCCCAGACCGGAGCGGCGGGCCGTCTCCAGGACCCCAGCCGCCATCACCCACGGATGCTAACTGGGCTTGTTGCTGAACTGACAGGATGACGTGTGGGCATCTGACATAGGCCCGTATTTTCCCATCTAAAATGCTATTTTGGAACATTTTATTAAGGAAGGAAAAACACTTGCTGTGCTCTTGAAAATAATGAGTCACAGATTAGTGACGGAAGAGAACATGCTGGTCAGACCCTCATCTGGGGCCAAATGAGAATCATCACTGGACAGAAAAACAGAGACGACACAGACCGCCCCCAAATCCTGGGATTTGATTGGCTTTACCTGGGAAAAGTCCTCTGGAAATTGAATACAACTTCCCAGCTGTAGGACTCACTCAGCTATCCTCAGGAAGACCAGACCGTAGAATGGGAGTGTGGGGGATTACTAAATGAGAAACAAGATCCGCCTTTTACCTCCTCCCATGTGAAGAACCAGTGAAGTGGCTAACTTGGATGAATGTCAAATCTTACAGCCCTCAATTATGCAGCCTCTATAAAAACAAATGAGTCATTTGAGGTTAGAGAAGATAGCTTCTTATAATTATGATTACAAGATTGTAATTGTTAGAGCTTAACAAAAAATTTAATGCAGCATGTCTTTTGTAAAGACCAAGCCAGAACTATTAATAGAAAAGCCTAGAGCCATTTAAACACAAAATCTGGTAAATGGTGATGGAAGGAGACTTGACTTGGGGTGGTGAACACATAATGCAACACGCAGATGATGTGTGATAGAACTGTGCACCTGAAACCTATATAATTTTATTAACCAATGTCACCCCAATAAATTCAATTTAAAAAAAGGAGCGCCTCTTCAACTCATGCACTTAGCAGATAATCACAATTCAAACTGCAAACACACCTTTGAGCCCTGTCCTCTCCTTGATTCCATTATCCCTTTTTATTTTATTAAATAACATAAAACTGCTTTTCTCTTTTTCTGGAATATGTTTCCTTGGAAGCAGCTGAGCAAACGTCCGGGACACCCAGAACCAAATGCAAGTTACCTTCTTTTAAAGTCCACTTGATCGAGCCTGTCCTCTTGCTGACAGCGTGCAAACTCCCGTCCAGGGTCGACACGAACAACAAGGTCTCGGGAAGCGTCACTGTGCTGGGGCTTCCGAAACTCTGCAATGAGACGGGGGAAGAACCCTCATGGTCAATGTGATTCTCTGCCTTGGGCACATACCACCACAGACTCGCCCCCTCCCCACCGGAAAGTTCCTAAAATCCACCACCTTAGAGATGAAGAAACTGAGCCTGGACAGCCAAAGTTCCCCTTAAGGGCACCTGTTTAGAAAACCACTGAGTCAGACTAGAACCCAGGTCGCCTTTTCTAAGTGGCAATCCTCCCTGCAGACAGACAGGCTTACGACCCAATGGGACAAGGACAGGGATTTTGAAATAATCCATGGAAACAGAGGTGGAAAGTACGCCCGGCTAACTGACTTCCTGCTCTGCGTTGTATTTCACTTTCTGAAGTCGGGCCATCTTGCAAGGCTCCATGATAAGGACGAATGCCAACACACCCGCACACACCCATGCACACTTACGAAATTTTAAAGGGCAAAGATTAGAGGAAAAGTTTAAAGCAAAATAGGAAAAACAGTTCTCATTCTATAATGAGTTTATATATAAATAAAACACCAAGATTTCAAGAGAAATGTTATAAAAGAAAATGCATAAATAATATCCAATTACTCCTCATTTATACTCAAAATACAATTTAAATCAAAATGTATTTTTGTGTTCAATATATTTTTCAAAAATTCTGTAAGAAAATAGCCAAAGGTAGTATAATTCACTTGCTTATCCATTGCTGGTGGCAATGAAAACTTAAGTTAGTGTAGTCTTTCTGGAAAAAACAAAAATGCTCATATTTTTGGTTCTGTAATTCCACTTCTATATCCTAAAGAAATTATTCCAGATATTGAAAAAGTTTTGTGTACAATGACACTCATTACATCCCATTTATTAAAAAAAAAAACACAACTAGAAAGACCCGAATTTCCAATAATATCTAAATGGCTGAAATAAATTATAACACATACACTCAATGAAAATTATGTAATCATTAAAACAGCATGTGGAAAAATCTACAACAATATAGAAAAATGCTTACACATGCTATCACATTAAAAATACAGAATCCAAAATTTAATGTACACTAGTTATAATCATACTGGACAAATTTTTTAACTTTTGGTCTGCCTGTCCAGCTTTGCAGGCACTAACTGTGCCCCCCTCCACACAGAGTCCGTGGGAGCAGCCATGTGTGCGCACGCATGTGCGAGCACAAGTGCACGTATGTGCACTGCACACATGAGCAGGTGATGGCTGTAAGGTTTCCCAGGAACACGCTTTTGAGGTGTGCATCCACTCAGCAGCGCCACTTTGTAATGAGATCGTCTCTTCCTTTGTCACTACACTGTCCCGTAAGTTAACCAGCTCCTGTGTGTTGAATTAAAAACTGGCCAACTTGCTAATAGGGTGACAGTCTGAACTTTGGCAGAAATACTATTGTAAAAATACGGCTGGCTTTTGGCACTCCGTCTAAATGATTGAGGGGTTACTTGTGCATGGGAGTCTGACTCCAAAATACCTGGTCCTTGTTGGTAAGGGCCAGGATGATGCCCAGTGAATCCCTTAAAAGGGAAAGCCCGGGGCCTCTCTCCAGGGCAGTCTGAGGTGGCAGGACAAACAGTCAGGTCCCTATGTTCCTTTTCTACAGCAGAAACCAACTGGCAGAGGGGGCCACTCGGCTGCCAGAACCTGGCTCATCCCATCTCCTCGTGTGCCTGGCCTGCAGGCGGAGAAGATCCCCCCTTTCCTTTGTCCAGAGCCAGGGCCCACTCGCCTGGAGTGGGAGAGACAATAGCAAGCTTTGTCGCTGCCTGCTGAGTGTATTCTCTGGGTAAAGCCTTAACCCTGAGGAGGAAGAATCTGCTTTTAATTCTGCCTTTGGACCTAGGAAATCAGTTTTAGACCGGCTGGGGAAACAGAGGCCTCAGCGCAGGTGCCTGCCCTGCCAGGGAGCCCAGAGATTGTGTATACCAACCGTCAGGGGTAGTTAAAATTGTTTCAGGCCACAGGGTATAAATGGTGACAAGCCTCACCTGGACCTGCTCACACCTGAACCAGAGGTGTGAGCGCTGCCTGCAGCATCTGGCCTGGAGAACACTGGCCCTATGACAAGACCAGGGAGGTTGCGGCTGACCTAGACTTAGGGCGGTCTCCCCTTGAGATGGGGATGAGTTTGCAGCTTGATGGGGCATGGTGGGATTATATGAGGAAGCGGCAGTTTGGGGACGGAATAAATGAAAAGGGAGGTCAGGACGCATGGCATACCTGGGGGCCGAGAGATAGAAATCCCCGCCGAGCCCCACTCCACCTATCGAATCGCTACCCCAGCAACTGCCATTTTGTACAGTAAGTCTCGGGATCACACAAGAATTGGGATAAACTCTCTGGATGGATGAAGTGGTAAGAAATTGAACTTGGGAGATTTCTGTGAATATGTTTTCCTCCATGTGGCAAACAACTGGGCAACAGAGAGAGACAAAGGCACAAACAGAGAAAGAAGCCTGAGAAGAAACACAGCTGAGAGATTGGGAGATCGTGGCCCGGCTTCCACTGGTCCTCATGCGTTGCCAAGGTCCTGTCCTTGGGCTCAGAGATACCCAGTCTTCACAATCAATTCCCCTCTTTGCTCAGGTTTGTTGGAACGAGGTTTCTGTCACTCACAGACTGTGCAGTCCACACACACACACACACACACACAGTGCAAATGTAAATGTATACATATAGGAAAAAAGATGAAAAAATATTGTAAGATGATAGCACTAGCTTTCTTCTCTATTTTCTAAACTTTCTATGATAGGATCATATAATCTGCAATGAGTTTTTCATAAGATAGAAAGGGGATGGACAAGTTAACAGGCGGGAGAGAAGCTGGCATTTAAAGGAGCTTCAGTGAGCTCCCAAGTCCCAGGGGAAGCGCTTTCCAGTCTCAGGATGGTAGGCACCTCGACCACCGGGGATCATTAGTACCCACCCAACAAGGAACCAAAGTTTAGAAACACAGAGGTCTCCTGGTAAGACAGTGTGCTTCCCAGAGTGGAAGAGTTCTGCTGTTGTCATTAAAGCCTACAGTACAATGATAATAAACTAAATGCTGAGTACATCTAGCACAGTATTAACATTAAAAAGAGCTGATAGTTAGTAAAATGTATCAGTGTTGCTTCACCTCTGGTGTGGAAATGAAAGCCAGCTGCCTCTCTGAGCAGCCTGGAAACCACAGGAAGAGCAATTGTCTATGGTTGGTTGGCGAACTGAAATAAAACACTAATCACCTAACACAGTTTTTTAAATATCTCAAAAATACCACGTTGGGCTAGACACTGGATTCAGCAGCTGAGAGCACTTGACAGTAAATCACAACGTCCGCAATGACGTCAGAAACCCTATCACAACCGACAGATTTTTCCCTTCTTTGAAGGCTCTCAGCCATTTCAACTTAGAATGGCCAGGGAGCCACAGTGAACAGTTTCATTCTCTCAGGAGGCAAATTAATATTGCAAAATTTCTGGCTCTTTACCCCTGGCATTTTTTAAAGCATGCAAATGCCTGCCTTCAAAGACAGTTGCTAAAACTAACACGAATTAAGTTTCGATATGCCTTTTGCAGTACTGAGCACAGCTCTCGGCTGGGAGCTACGTGCACCTAAACATCGAAAAACATGCTTCACGGCGATGAACTTGCACATTCCCTTCACTCAGCCGCCTCCGTCGTCAGCGCTCCCTTTTCTCTGCAACAGACGGAATGGCAATAGGACCCACAGTTTATGCACACTAGTTTCCAGGGAGCCTGAAAATGGAAAGAAAATGCTGCATCTGCAGATGTACTGCAAACTGACTACCTGGAATCTGATTCATTTTTCGGACTAGTGGGTAAATATTCCTGGCTTCGATGGTGACTTCCAAGAAGCAGTCACAGTTAATACTGTAGAGGGTGAGAATGGCAGTGGCGGGTAATCTGTTCTAGCCTGAAACTAGACACCCATTAGCTAATTGGTTTTCGTGGAAGTCTGACATTTGTCATCTCACACAAAGTGACCCCGAGATAATTCTGGAAACGCCCAGCCTGAGGACCATGAAGTCGGCCATTCAAGAGCAGATGATGCCGGGGAGGTGGCTGCCGGTCAAACCAGCTTATTGCCCGTGGGCTGACGGAGTGGCAAAGCAGTCCTTCCTGCAGGCCTGCTCGGCCAGGACTTCAGCGAGAGTCTCCCTCCCGTGAAAACAAATGCCGCTCCGGGCTGCACCCCTGTGTTTCATGTTCTGATTGTAAAGCAGGGTTTCACCAAGACCAGCCACTACACCAGTTCATAAAATGCACCACTCACTTTGCCTTCGCTGCGAAGACCTGGAAACAACGCCCAACTGGTTTACACAGATGATTAAAAGGTGGGCTGCCGACAGTTTCATTCTCTAACACCCTAAACTCAGCTAATTGTTAGTTGCTCTTGCATTAGCTAACTCAAACCCTTATATTTTAGGTAAGAAAAAAATCTTTTCTAAAACCAATTCCGAAATGGCTTTGTTTAGAAAGTCTTCAGTAAAGAGAATGATGGACACAAGGAACAGGGTGTGTTTAAGCAGCACCAAAACAAATGAAACAAAAACCCACCCACTTCTAGCCAGCACTGGGGGCGGGCCAGCCCAGCAGGTGGCTCACCAGTGACAGGAGGAAACCGGCAGCAAAGCCCCAGGGCTTGGTTTCACTGTCGCAGGTGACTGAAGCTGACTGCTCTTTTCTGAGCACCTTCTGCCCCTCGAGGAAGAGCAGCGGGGAGGCACACCGCCAGCCAGCTCCTCTAAGATCCAGGACACACAGAAGGCCAGCGCTCCTCATCAGAGTTCTCAGACATGCTGCATTTTCCAAAGAAATGCTAAGTCTTAATTTTCAGACTCATATTTCAACAAACAGTTCACAGGATAATTGAACACCTAATAACAAGGGTCAGAAGTAAAGTTAATAAAAATAGCACAGCCCTGGTGGGTGTGGCTTGGTTGGAGTGTCATACTATAACTGAAAGGTTGTGGGTTCAACTCCCAATCAGGGCCTGT